TAAACGAGGAATTAATGAACATATTGCCACCTTCATTCAGTAACTCGCTTACAGTTGAAAGATTTATGTGATGTAAGGCATCAAAATTGTTATAAAATGTCAGCATACCATGAAGTTTCTACCAACTTTAACCAGAAAGTAACAAAAATGACAAACACTGGCAGCTCAGAAATTAATCACATCTGACTCAAGGTAATGGAAGATGGTAAAATTCAGCCAATTTCAACATTCAAAATTATAGGACCTTTATTTTGTATAACTCGACACAGAATTTATATAATGACCTTGAAATATATATATATAAAGGGGAGTGGTTCAAATCTGAGAAGACAACTCATAAGCACTTGTAATACCATCAATAACGTACGAAAACCGAGACTGGTCTGAACACTCAAAAAACAATCAGATTGAGTACTGTAATAAAACTGCCCCCCCCCCAGTAACAAGCACGTGTGCACACACACACACACACTCACTCATTTCATGACAAACCATGTACAAATGTTCTCCTTAGAAAAATCTTACAAATTTTAATTGTTAGCATGTTAGGTTGTTAATTTGGGGACAATATGAATGTACCGAACTAAAATTATATATATAAATATATAAAAAAAAAACACATTCCAACAGTATTAACATTTCTGAACAGAGAAGCTTCTGAAACTCATACAAAAGCAAGTGAACCATAAATGTGCATATACAACAATGTGGATAATTACTCTTCACTCAAACCAAAATAATGCACAAAGTCCAAACTTTTAACTGCCACGATGAACAAACTTACAGGATCTACACGTCGCCGTATGATTAAATTCTGTCGAGTATGTCATCGTAACACATCCTGTACCCAGACAAAGAATACGTCCAAGATCTTCATACAAATGTAAAATGCACATACAACTATAAAATAACACACTCGCTCTATATGTATTGAACGCTCCAAATCATTCTCTATTATCTTTATCAAGTATCTACTTTTAGACCACAATTCCTCAGCCTTTGACAACACTTTTTAAAATGACATACATAAGAAATATGTTTTATGTATCAAACACCATTAAAATCTGCCAGTTCTCAAACATTGTGTAAATTCACACATCACTCTGTGCTAACTATGAAACTACTACAAATAAAACAATAGGAATTCAATGATTAATTTCTCAAAACGTAATTTACAAAACTGTTACTAATTTTTAAAACCTAAAACATATCCACGCTAAATGCCTTATAATAACCTATTACACAATCAATTCATTGGAGAGCTGAATTGACAATTACTTTTTTCTATATTAACTTCATCACCCCTGACAGAATTCAACCAAAATGTAGTAAATAACAATTGTTATAGGCGACTATTGGAGCCGTGACACTCATCATTACTGTTGTATTCACACATCATCAAAATGAAACCACTTAAAATTCATGGTGATTGGTATATGTAACAGAAATAGAACGTTTGGATGACGTCTTCAATTTGTAGGTAGCGACCTTAATTTCAAGATATTACATTAATTTGATACAAACAATACAGAATTTTCCCCTGTATCCTTATACCACTCTTATGAGTTGGTTCCTGGTAATACAGGCTTGTTATACACAAAATCTCTATCCAGTTTTCATGCCTAATGGGCACAAGTACAATGTAAAAGGACATTCTGTTGCAACCAGCGCAGAAGAAAGGAAAACGTGACTCCAAAAAAACTACTCAGAAACACAATGATGCATTATCCTTCAAAACTGTACACAACACATTCATCATGAGAGAATTACATAAAATATAGCAGACACTTTTTACAAGAAGACAACACAACTTTTGTTTAAAACAATTATTGATGATTAATATAATAAAAGAGCCGAGTAAAACAGTGACAAAGCGTGTGCACCTTGCAACATATCTAACGACTGCTTACATTCCAAGGTACACAAAACTTCAGAACCAATTTCTGATAATATATGAGATAATTTTTAAGCTGGAATGGGTATTTTAAATGGCTTTAAAATTGTTAAAAATAACATATACAAAATTACTAATTTGTTATAAACATTAAAATAACATATAGGCCTATATGCAGTCCCACTCTCGTAACAGGCAATGGAAAAAAAAGACTGTCATTATACCAAGCACTGTAAACAAAAATGCAAAACTGCATGAACAATTAAATGATCAGTATTGTTAAATAACCTACAATTCACCAATTATCTAGTTTTAGGATATATAAATGATTCCCGACAGGTTTGTTTTTACTAACGGTCAAATCGCAGGGACTTGCGGCATGAAGGGAATGGTAAGCTACATTTCTCAAACTCTTGTACTTTTAAGTGATCTATTGTATTTCAACTATTTCATAACGCAAAAGTTCCTTCGTCATCGGGTTGATTAATAACCCGCATATGAGAAGTTGATTTGGGGTGCGGGAACCCCTGTACACAAAACTGAAAACTCTGTTAAGTCTTACGAGTATAAGAAATGGAGGGCACAGTTTTTAAAAACAATTTTAAAAATTAAGAAAACTACAATTAACATAAAACAAGGGACCTGCTGTACAATTATATAATTCACACATGATTTGTAAGTACAAGTACTTTTGTGCTAATTAATATGCTATTTTTACACAACTGTAGTTTAAAGTCTTTCTTAATGGTTTCGTTGAAATATGCTGTAAAGCGGTAATAAATATGAGGGTGAAGATGACTGTTAAAAGGGCTGACATACATCATCTTGAATTACATTATATACAACGCTGTGTAGAATGAAGGCTTACATATCACTGTAATCAATTTAGAATATTAATATTTTTGCGGGCACTACTATTTCTACGACAATTTCAACAAGAAGCGTAAAAACATTAGAGGCACATCCTTAATTAAATATGAGTACAAAGATCAGTTCAAAATAATACATTACTTAAACCTCTCAACTGAGCCATGCATTGTTTGGTACGTTGTTTGCAATGGGCATGATGCATTATGACGCAACTGCTTATCCATCTGATATTTTCTCCATCAGACAGCAAACATTTATTTCTAATGTCGTCTAGCTTGTAACTCCACGCGTGCAGAACTTGTTGAAAAAATGGCGGCTATAAGGAAGGGCGCTAAGCTAGATGACAAAGATCTATGCAAATTAATGATTATAGTGGCACTAGTGATGGATGGGTAAATACCGAAAAAACAATTCCAAATCTGGAACAACTCTAACTACATCTAGTGATGATGTAAATGAGCGCAAATTTGAAGAGAGGTTATGGTAGATGGATGGCCTGCAAACAGTAAAGAGTGAGCAGTAGTTCCTTTTATTTCTGAGTGTGGCGTGAATATAAATGTGGATAAGATAATATTGCAGGGTCACATTATCAATGGATATATAGGCCCTACATACATTATCACTGTTCTGTAAAGAATGTTTCAATATACGCAGTGGATTGTTTTTCTTCTGTGGCGATTTTCCTGTTTGAAATTTTACGAATGAAGTTTTTTGGGTATGCACTCGATCTGCAACAGGTGTAATTTATTATCAACTTTATCACAGTACTTGTTCAAAGTTTCCTGCTTGCGACTCTATGACGAAGTACTGGTGCTCTTATTGTGACCTGATTCATACATGAAGCTCCTCATGTGCCCCCCCCCACCCCAGTAATCTGGAGGGGTAAGGTCAGGCAACTCAATGGCAGTATCTGTATTTAGCACAATCCCCACTTTAACGTCAATACTGGTTGCGACAAAGAACAGTGTCTTGATGAAGTTCCAGTTTATCCTGAATCCGGTCATTCGATATCAAGAAAATATTTAAATTCCAAACAACAAATTCCTTGCAAGTCAAGATTATAATCTTCTGGGTTGTTACGCCATACAGTTCAAAGGACTAAATCACAAAGATGGAAGCTGATTTTCTTTCAAATGTGGTACAAAACTTACTTTCTCCAACTGAATTCTGTTATCAGTGATTAATATTAAGATTCTGGGCATTTGGGGATAAATTCTCGTACTTCAACATGGCAGAAAAAAAATCACCCAAACTGGAATATGAATAAAGGGAACATTGCCAGAACCAATTCTGGCAATCTGTAATTCTTCTATAACCTTTCTAAATAATGAAATGTATTGGTGAATTTCATTCCTACTATTCATGGTATTACTGAAAAAATATTTAGAAAAAAAAAATCTTTTAGCTACAACTACAAAATTCTCTGCATAACAATGTTGCAAGTACAGCAGAAAACGACGAGTACAAATTACAATGTGTTACACTTACAATCCATAATTTAGGAGAAAGTAGCTGACACAGACTTTTCACACTGAACACTTTTCAAATAAATTTACCCATTCTCTTACTTTCAGAAACTGAAAATAGAAACAATCTTCAAGAATTGGTGAAGGAAAACAAACCTAACGAGGGGAGTAAAATTTCATAACATATTACATAAGAAATGTGTACTTTCCACAAACAAAACTAGCGAAATACTGTGTTCTAAAATAAGATGCTTTGTACTAACTCGTCCTTTTAACCGCCTCACATATTCGAGGTTACGACCATCTCAAAAAATACGTGGGTTCTCACACCAAAATTCAAGTGCCAGTCAAAAAATATGATCACCAATAAAACTGCATAAGGAAAATGTTACGACCCTGTAGAAATCAAGACAATGTCGTAATCAGTTTCCAATGTTTAACAGAGTTCTAATGTGTAAATTTTAAAAATACAACGCTCTGCAAAACAGTTTTTAATAACCATCTTTTTCTATTTCCACTGTCTGTACAATGGCGTACACTACAGTAAATGCTCGCTTGCATACGGCTGAGCAATAAATATTTGAATCTGTTTTGACGCCATTTTAAGAACTTACATACGTTTCAAACTGCAAATTATAAAATGTTAAATTGGTACATAGAAGAAAACAAATACACACAACTCAGTTCAGGTTCGACGGGTTCAAAATATCCATGTTGCTCGGACTTTCGGGTTCAGGTTGGGACTGGGAGGCGGGTGGGTGTTGGGTTACCTGCTGTAGGCCAGATGCTGGCATGGTTACTATCTGGCCTGTTCCTGCATTTAACAGCGTCTGGCCTGCTGGTTTTGCCGCAATGGTGACAGTTTTCGGTGGTCCGCCTTGTTGGCCTGGAACTGTGATAGTAATAGGTTTGCCCGTATTACCTCCAGCCACTGCCCCGGATGACACTACAATCATTTTTACACCTCCAGGTCCAGTGATATGACTTGCTGCAGATAGCGGAACTGCATTTACAGTGGATGTTGTAGCACCTGCAATTAAAAAGCAGTGCCTTCTTCAGTATCTTTTACTGTGACAATCCTTACAACACGCGTCCCAGAATGAGTGTGTTTTCTACGAATAAAATATTACAGGCAAGATAATAATTTATTCAGAGGAAAACGAGTCAAAATAACCAGGTTTTCATTCTAAACGGTTCTGACCAGGGCTGTGGAGTCGGAAGCAATTTTAGGGGTTGTCAGTAAAAATTTACTGACTCTCACCTCAATATAAAATCTTAAGAACGCTTTCGCTACCGTGTGAGCTGCCGGCGGCCTCACACTTAGGGAGATTCAATGACGCGTTGAGCCACATGGTGCGGGAATAATGCTTTGTAACTTTGGCTCTTCTACCTAAAGAATACAAACTGTCTACAAATCAACCAATTTCTGCAATAACCATTAGATGTATATTTAAATATAGGCTATAAGTCTGAAAAGTAGTCTGATGATCCATGTGGTGGTGATGAAATCTCTTGTGGTACCATTTACCATTTTAGTAGGTTTACAATTATTAATACATATCGAGCTTTTATGAAGAAGTCGGAGGTTTTAGTACCGACTCCCACAGCCCTGGTTCTGACGATGGTGGATTACACTTAAAATTATTGGCTCTGTTTCCATCTTCAGGCGAGAGGTACCTACTCAGTTGCGTCCATCAGATAGAGCCAGTTTCTGAAACGTACCGGTTTCTTCTTTTAAACATGGATGATGGAAAAAGTCCAGATAGTGAATAATTTTAAGTGTAACCAGATTTTAACTCACCGATTGCAGTCTGTGCACTGCTCACAGCCTGAACAGTCCTTAGGCCAGAAGCTGTGGTTACCACAATGATTTGTGGCCCGCCAGCAGGGCGTCCTGGCATTCCGACACTCATGCCAGCTGTCCCTGGCATGCCACTTGTCATTCCTGGACCTGGTTTTGTGATCACTATAGTTTGTTTACCCCCAGCTCCTGGTGCTTTGCTTACAGTCACCATGTTTGTTGGCATAGTCTTCATGGTTGTTAGTACCTTTGCTGTAGCTCCACCTAATGGTGAACACAAAAAGTTACAAAATTTGTAAAGTTTATCCTTTTAATGAAATAAATCTGGTCATACATCCTGTATCAATTCACATTTGCAAACACATGACCCATGGTGATGTAGATGGTAGTTCCAGCAGACCCATATATGAAGGTTATTTACAATACATAACCTAAAGGTAAACAGATGTCACCTGCACAGACCAAGTGACTGGAAAGTCATAAGAAAGCTTAAAAGCCAGGGACAGCCAAGGCAGAACAGGGGACATAGGAAACTGGGTAATGTGACATAGCCCAAGACCTGGGAGGTCCTAACCATGGCCCAGGTCTAAAGGCTATACCCTAATAAGAGAGAACACCCCTCTTTAGGGACCGAGGGACTCTGTGAGACCAGGGACCTACAAGGACATCATTATGGAGACCAACAAAAATTCTTTAGCAAATACCTTTTCAGAATTTTGCCATTTGGGTAGACATTTCCTTAAAATGGGCGATTATCATGAGAAATCACCAAGTATAATATTGTGCTTTGTAATAGGCACAGGGCTACTGAAAGATTATAAGAATGGGAAGTACAAAAGATTAGCCAATGGCCACTTTGACACCCATTCTATTTATTTACATTCCATACAATAGATCCTTAACAGGCCTATGCAAAACATGTAGAGCATGCCACAGCAGAAATACATTACTTATTTCTAATAAAATTCATGATGAAATCAAGAGCAGATTAAATTCAGGGAATGCTTGCTATCAGCGAGTCAAAAATCTTTTGTCCTCGCATCCCATAACAAAGAAACTGTAGACTAAAATATACAGAAGTGTAATTTTGCCAAATATCAAACTATAATATACATTACATGATTTACCTAAAACGGAATACAGACTATGAAGATACAATTCAATAATTGGATCCCCACTTCTTGGATGTCTCAAAACCATTTTAACCAATTGTGCACTGCTGTACATTAAACACTACCGCACAAAATTCTTACCTTAATCTTAGTGTCGCTTCTCAGGCGGATGTACTTAAAAACATGTAAAGTCCACGAGGAAATTACAAAAAACTAACGACTTGTTTAGCACCAGTGAAACAGAACATGCACAAAACTATCGAATCAAAAAATACCGGTCGACACGAACACGGGTACGTAGATTTCATTCGATTCGGATTCACGCAAATTTTGTATTGCCACACTTCGCAGATAACCAATTATATTTTTAATGTGACAGACATACACACAACCTTCATTATTTTTACCTCCAGGTAGCACTTAAGATCTGCAGTTGAAAAACAACACGTTTAAAAGAAAGTCTGGCACGTCTTTGTATCAGTATAAGAATCAGAAACTGAAATTACTATTTTAATACAAGAACATTCTGTATTGCAATTGAAACACAAAGAAATATTGGTTTTCCAGACCATGTATTCCCGCGCGACTAATGATGCCGTGTCTGAACCTTCAATAGCTTGGCTTGAGGTGTCATCATACCAACGTGACTGAACTTGTGACAAAACAGTTAAAAATGCCAATTTTATTTCACAGTTAATTTCAATTTGGGTTTACTCATACATATACAATTATGTTTTTATACAAAATGCATAACTGGAATGCTCTGCTGCCTTATGGGACAAAACCGGAGACTACCATGTCGGATATTGTACACAGAGCAAGACAGTCGAGTATCGACTATTTTGAGCAAGCAGTAAAACTAGTCAGAGTTGTTATCAAAAATGTAATATTAAGAAGCTACACGAATGAAAACATACAAATCGTGTGTATCTCTGGCACGATTGCAATCAGCCACGATACGAAATTGAGTATTAACGTTCACGATAACACGCCATTCCAACCACTTTATACCACAGCCAAACACAAACTAGCCCCCACCACATAGCCCCGCTCATGCGCAGTTGCCAACACCTCACCAAACAGAAACCACCCAAAGCCTGGCGAACGGGAATATGCTACCAACACGGGCAATAATGAATAAATAATATAGTTACTGTTAACCGTTTAAAGCCCAATGGTAACTATACATACCACCTGTTTTAATAATCAGTAACTCTGCATTCTGCCAACAGAGTGTATCAGTGGGTTTCTTTAATTAATGTAAGGTACAGAAAAGTCACATATGAACAAACACAAAATTACAATTCACTGAAATCATGACACTATCTATATGCTTACATCATTTCTGGTTTGGGACTCAGAAAATTTCAAGCGCTTGATTTCTGTTGCATAGAGTGTACATTTTCCATTATTACTATAACACTCTACATGAAGAAAGGGCAATAACAGCCTCCAAGTTAAATATTATTACAACTGCAAGTGAATAATTAATAAGAATAACCAATCAACAAATTTAATAGTATTAAATATGTGAACCTGATTTCCTAGCATCTTTAACAAATTTCAATCACTTAAAACAGTAAGTCGCTAATGGTGTGAACACATCAAACCAGCCTGACCAGACCACACCAGTAACAGGCAGAATGAAACTGTAGTCAAAAACAGTTAAAATGATTCAATATAAACAGTCAAGTCTGGTGCCAGAATTCTGCCAGCATGGATGTGTATTCGATTTCACTATTTGCAATAATCATAGTGATGGCAGCAATAACAAAACAGATGCCTTTGTTGGATTCATTCCATAAACGAAGACCTGAAATTGGTGCTTTCACATAACAGAGGAAATTCACTAATTATTTTAACATAGGTTTTGAATCCTTCAAACAGTTGACAAGTTTAATTTGTAAATCAGCTGTGAAACAAAATACAAATAGTAAAAATATCCCTGAAAATAATTTGCTGTATCTTACCATTACTTAAAATGAAGCATTAAAACAACTTGTTCTCATAGCAAAATCCACCATTTTATTTCACAGTTTCTGCATAAGGCAATATATAAAAATACTGATATGTTTATAGCCCTTTTACATAAAAGTTTAATTCTTATTCTAATATTTTTTAAATTATTTTTTGCTTAGTCTTCTTAATGAAGTTAGCAGTCCATGTACTGCAACTTTCCAAACCGAAACTTTTATGGCACAGCTGACACTGATATCCAGACATCCAAACATTGATAAAAATGATTCAAGTAAAGAGTAGATATACATACAGCTTAATGGAAACGTGGTAAGGACTTGTATCATGGGAAATGGAGCTATACAGAAAAAGTACTGTAGAAGAAGCTACTGGGAACAGTTTTTCACTAGCTTCTGCAGTGTTGGAAAACATATTTGCTTGAGGGGATAATTTCATCAGTAGAAGACTATGCAAAGAATAATCATAAAATTTGGAGCTGCCTTCTCTTAACAATCTCAGTTCATTTAAGAATTCTGCATCCATGTCCATTTGTTTCCCCCTGTTCTTTCTCCTGAATAAAAAGTTTCAACAGAAGAGATAATACCATCTTGGCTGTTGTCTTCAATAGGGTTCAGATGAAAAATCTTGTCATTGGACCTGAAAGTCACACAGTCAGGCAATTAATATCAGCAGCCTAACTATTATTAGTGTCTGTGGTCACACATAATCATTCACTTACTGTCTACATTGAGGTGCACATCCAGAAATGACAATGTAAAGAATGCCCATTTTGGTCAATTTTGGTTTGGTACCATTGACTTGACTTGCGCTCTTTCATTTCCTGTGGAAACCATTCCTTAGGTTTACCCATTTTTCTTGGCAAACACTCTGAAAATGTAGACACAAAAGGTTAATATCTGTTACTGTTTTTTTGAAAGCTAAACTATGTGCAGTTCTAAACGTATTTAACATAGTACTAGTCCATTTCTTTAAAATATTGTGCTGTAAGTTAATTTCATTTATGGTTAAAGACATAACCTTAAATTAATTAGATAAAAAAAATTTATAAACAGTGATGTTCTAGTTGCAGAATACTGTACAAATGCAGATAATTTTCTATATAAAATGCGAAAAAACTGAAAATGTTCTTTATGTTTGATGAACACATTTTTCAAACAGAATCACAATTACTTATTCACAGCCACCTTTCTTTCAGACTTCTGACATGTAATGCAGCAATTATGCCAATCACTCATGCTCTTGATGTTAGAAATTTACAGACTATTCCACTTCCCCTGTTGAGGCAATTAAGTGGCAGAATTTATATGCATACATTACATATCATCACCATAATAACTAAGTTATGTTATAAATAAAATATTCAATATCCCACACTATTATTACTGTAAATTTATACTGTGTTGAATTTATGTTATCAATAATAGTATTTTAATAATTACCTTCAGATCTCATCTCCTTCCAATTATCTTCCAATGCCTTCTGGACAGTGTCACTGCTTCTACGCTTCTTATCTTTTAGTCATTCACAAACGATTTCTCCCACACTGACTCACTAAAGTGTTCAGTGTCAAAACCAGACATTTCCTGTTATGATGCTCATCCTGACTGGCAAAAAATGGCACATTGACATGTTCTGCTCTGGACAAAGCAAGATAAGTCTTGTTGTGTCTGCTTATGACTTATGCAATTAGATCACTGACATTCAAGTCTGTTATCCAAGTTCCTAATAGCCAGGCTGGTGAGGTCTAGTCTGGTCTGCTTTGGTATGTTTAAACCTTTGGGCGAGTGTCGCTGCGTATCTTAAAAGGTTGAGAACGCATAATACAGTCAAGAAGCGATTCAGAAGTCTGTTGTATTAAATGTTGATTTACCTCACGCACGTTTAGGCAATGCAAACACAGCTTATATTCCAGAACTTATAAACACCGTCTCAAAATTAAATGAAAGAAAAGCCTTGATAGATCCCATTTCCAATTAATTCGTGTAATTTTGCAGCTTTCACAACTTAGATTGCAAAACATTTATTTGTATAGACATCGGGGAAGAGTTAGCTTTCGAATGAGTGGATGTACATCACCGAAGATTCTCCCGTTCATTCACAACTTCAGATTCCTTACAGAATCCTATATATATATATGTTGCTTGAAGACTAGCAATGAAACTGTCTAATAAGATTAATATTTTATGCTATATACACTTCCTATATAATCATGTGAGACAATTACCATAAAATATTGAATGTGAGTAGAATATGCCTATAAGAAGCAAAGGCACATAAAATTATGCACACAACAAAATGCATCCCTTAAAACAAATACTTACCCCAAGTTGTTTTAACTATAGCCAAAATAACAACAACAGAAACTAAGCCCAACACAGAAGCACATGTGTATGACTTGTCACCGCTTTCCCTCTCATTTACATGTAAGAAGCAACAAATATGCAGTAGAGACTCAGTCATGCATTAGTGTGATATACTGATCAATATTTTTGTCCACGTATGACTCCAAACTTACGATGTTATTAAATTTTTAAGAAGTGCAACTAACTAACTAACTAACTAACTAGATGGCTTACCGAACCCGAAGGTTCATCACCGAATTAACCAAAGCCCTCCACCGGACCCTGTCCTGGGCCAACAAAATCCAGTTTCCTTCAACTCCTATCTCCCATAGATCCCGCCTGAGATTATCCTCCCACCTACGTCTAGGTCTCCCCAGAGGTCTCTTCCCTTCAGGTTTCCCAACAAGTGCAATATAAATTAAAATACATTTTGCTATTTAGACAATAACAGGACAAAAACAACATGAAAAGTCATGTTATGCAACGTCTGTTTCTACTTCTGCTTTCTTAAACGTGCCCTACATGATTTTTTACTCTGCTCCACTTTAATGAACTTCACTTATGAGTATGAAATGTCACATACAGGGCAATATTACACAATTCATACAACCGTCAAAGAAGTACGAAATGCATAATATTAAATAAAATTCTATTGAAGAACGCGATAAATTAACAGTCTGTGGTATAAATCTGAAATTGTATCAGTAAAAGCGTTCTAACTGAAAGAAATTTCAGTGAAGAGTGAAACAAACAAACTGAAACAAAGGTTGAAGCCACCACAGTAAATGTACTAACTAATTTCCTAGAATTTAAGACACAAATTTTCAAATTTCAAAAAATTGGGCCGCGTCTTATATTTAATGGCATCTGACATGTGGGAGTCACACATTCACCTTGTCTACTTTAAGAGTAGAAACGCTTTGAATGCCAATGAGTTTGTAAGCCAACTGCATCTGTAGTTCTTTGTACTATATGGTATAAAAATTTAACATTATTTATATTTGTGAAATTTACACTTCCATTAATATAAATTTAAATTATTTGAGAATGAATATTTATTTATGTGTGATGTTTGATGGATAATGTGAAGTACTTGGAAGTTGAAACTTAACTAGATGTTGGCATCTACTGATACTTCTCTGTATACAGATTTTGAATTCACTGGAATTTCATATTTCAGCTCAGTACAAAAAAATGAATTTAAACAAATTACTCTACTTGTTACCACCATGCCTTTTTAAATCAATCAAAGATTATTACAGGTTACCACAATATTTATGTAAGAGACTTAAAATTTAATGTCAGATTCTTGGTTATCGCACAATGTCTGTACAGATGCAGTGTAAAATAAATACGGTATTTAAATGTTTTCTGGGAGATATCTACAAATTACTGCATAAAACTTCTGCAGTTTTTCTTTAAAAATTTACATATATATCAGGACTACATTTCTATTTCTAGCGCTGGTACTTACACACCTGCACCTGGGTTTGCACTGAGAAGTTTGACGATGGTTGCTCCTTGCGGTATCGTTTTGGTATTTGCACCCTGGATTGTAGTCAGCTGTCCTGTTCCTGCTTTCCCCTGAATTAAGCTGACTTTTGGAACCTGAAACACAGACATTACAAAATTTAAACAGTTTATCTACGTACCAAAATACACCTGTGACATTAAGCTCCATCCATACTTTGCTATTTATTCCGGTGTTTTTCTAGTACTGTCACTGTTACACAGTGAAAAATGGATTATGGAAGAATTTCTCTTTTATTATGTGTTTCAGACTTCACACTCTATGAAGATGGCAGTCTTCTGGGTTGTAACACCATGTAGTCTGATAGAAGTTTACCTAAGGTCTCATTCAATTATACTTACTGTTGCTACTGTCATTCCCTGGCTGGTTTTCACGAGAGTGACAATCTGAGGTTGTCCCGTGCCTCCTGGGCCACCGGCAGGTTTTTGAAGAATGATTTGTTGTTTGCCTCCTTGTGGAGGGGTGGCTGCCTTCAATACAGTCGTTGTGGGAGTCGCTAAGCGTACTGTCTGTCCACTACCCACTGCAAACATCACAATGCACAATAAAGTACACATTATATGAAAATTCAATATTGGTTTTACCAATATTCATAAATATTTTTCCACATACTGGCATATTCGCGTCAATAAAGCAGCAATAAGTAAAATACCTTTTTCTGTGAAACCTACATTTACAACTTATGAAGATCAAATATTGTCTTCCTCTTATCAGAATTTTTTATATTTAAGGTATTTAATGTCACGTGGTTTATACCACAAAGATATTGTTCATACAATAACACGAAAGTTTCGCATCAGCGAAAGCGCAACAAAGGAACAGATTTGTTACCCAGCAGCCCTGAGGATGAGAGCGGAGATTGTTCTCGAAACGTTGGCATAAGTTATGGTTTATTCACCGTTCGGCCACCTGATGCGGCTTGTAACCCGAGAATCTTTCACGGACTGGTTATATTAAAATTCAGAGTAATAAGCACGATTAGTGTTACAAACAGGGACATACCAGTACTCATCTTCTGGGTAGCTGCCGCTGCTGCAGCCAATGCCTGTATTCCAGACATTTGTCCGGCAGCCTGGGTTTGAGCCTGTGACTGGGACTGTGCCTGGGTGTGCAGCTGCATCTGTACTTGAGTTGGTGTCTGGGGGGATGTGCCACGGACAGGTGACGCTATTGACGTCTGTAGCTGTGCTTGTGATAGGCTGGATTGTGTATGTGTTTGAGAAAGTATAGTGGGTGTTATTGATGGAGTCATCAATGCACTTGTAATGGTACCTCCTATGGTATTGGTCACGGTGCCTGGTGCCAAGATGCGCAACCCAGACGGGGTAGACAATGGTGCTCTGACTCGAACCAAATTGCTTGCACCTGAAAGAAAGTTAATTATTAAAAGAATTTTATGAAATAAGACAAAGTACTTGATACAAGGATAAACAAGAATGGTCAGGAAGAAACAGAATTTATGTTGCCATGCCCCTTCTCTTCTTCTTCTTCTATGGCTCTCCGGTCCGTATTCGGTCCATGGCCTCCTCAATTCTCCTCTTCCATTCGGTCCTCTGTTAGGTCAGTCTGTCCGAGGCTTTGATTGAGGTTTCAAAACATCTTCCTTTTTACAGTGCAAGGTTGTTAGCTTTGAGACAAACCCCCAACCTGGAGGACCAGGGTAGTTTAAACATCACAACACTGATATTTTCAGCCTGTCTCTGCCACCATCACAGTATGATGATGACTGTGTTCCAGAATTGATTCAGATTAAATCCCATATCCCTATTAAAGTTTTTGGGACGCACCCTGATCTCCATGGTCTATTTCACTATTCCATTCATGTAACCCATTGTTCCAGTTAATGCCACGGTGACCTTGAAGTTGATGCGGTGGTTTTCATCATTACTGTGCTCAGTTACCACCAACTTGTGTGGTTGGTACAGGCATAAGTACCATGCATGTTCTTTACGTTTCATCTCAATGGTGAAACCCATCTGGCCTACATATATGACAGGAATTGAAAAAGGAACGGCAACACCACTGAGGTCAGTCAGGCAGTGCAACTATGATTCAGTTGTAGTCCAACTGAATATGGTATAAAGATGGTTGCTACACTAAGTTTGCACCAGTGATGAGTAACATCAATGCCCAGTCTTCAGTAATTTGTTAAAGAAAATCAGATATCACTAAACATGAGTGCACTTTCACATGCCCTACTTAAATTCCAAATAAAATCTGAATTAACTACAATTCGCAGATAAATAAAATACTGAGTTTTATGCATAAAGTGGAAGAAGTGCACGTGCACACAAGCATGCACGTAAACGCAGATCGAATAAACTGAGGTATGGCAATGCAGCATGGTATGGCGACAAGGTAGAAGGCGATGCAGAAGTTAACTTACCTCTATATGGAGATGCAACAGGTGTGATGACAGGCATATTGGAAGTGGCCGAAGTTACTATACGTGGAGGAGTCGACATCACCGTCGATAACGTTCTTGATGAGGTTGTTGATGACAGAGTTGATAATGAAGAAATGGGTATACTGCTCACACCCAGAGACGCAGATGTTGTTTGCGGAGAGCCTATTGTAAGAATTGGTGTCAGTACAGTTGAAGTAGGGGTTCCAGATGAGCTAGTACTTGTTAAGGACTGTTGACTGTTAGCTGAATTTAAACTTGCAATGGTACTGGTAGGTAAACTTGAAGCTATGGAATATGGAGTAGAACAACTAGTTTTGGTGGGAGCTGAGGATGACAAGGCGGCTGTTGCTGCGGACCCTGCGGGTGTTGGTAATGAAACTCCTGGCAAAGTGGTCATGGCTGTACTTGGAGGCATGTCATATTTTTGAACTTGAAGCAGGTAAGATTCGGCAGTAGGTGAACCACCCCAGCAAACCTCTAGGGAGTGTGTTGATGCTCGTACTAATTGGACACGTCCAGGTGTCGGTGGCCTCTCAACTTCCAAAAACCACAAGTCTTTGCAGCAAACCTAAAACATTACATTTTAAATAATGCATGACAAAATTACCTACAAGTAGCAACAGCATACAGAAAATAGCATGGCCTAGTTCCATAAATAATCATATCCATATCAAAAGTACAATAAAATCTTGTTAAAATATGTCTCCAAAAGTTATTTACTGAATGAAAAACAATGGCATATTAATGTACACAACACTACAATCAAATTATGTTCATACAATATCATATATTTTCTCAAGTTACCTTTGTTAAAAACATGGTATTTAACACACTGTTCATTTGATGATTTTATCAATGAATCAAGAAAGAAATACCTTAACTAAGTACGATGCCATGCAGACATATGGAGGAGCAGAGGTGGCACAACCCCACAAATTCTCATACTTGGCATTAGATAAATGTGAGTGATTAACATTTTAGGCTGGGGCCACACGACCGTACAAAGTACGTCCGTTGTAACGCACATCGTGATGTCCCTCATAGAATTATGAAGGGGCATATAGGGTACAACACACGATGTGCGTAACAATGGACGTACTTTGTACGGTCGTGTGGCCAGGGTCTTAGCCCTCACAGAAGAAATCATGGTACTTATTCCATACAAGGCTGGGTGGATCCCTGAACAGTGGTCTGCACAGGCCAAAATTCTTAACTCATGGTACTTATTCCATACAAGGCTGGGTGGATCCCTGAACAGTGGTCTGCACAGGCCAAAATTTTAAACTTTTACCCAATCCAAGGACCATTTGGACAGAGCCCCCAAGTTTATCTTCAAATATGTTACCCACACCTGCCTTCCTTTTATTCAAGTCTGAATGAAACCTGATCTACCCTATCATAACATTAATACATGTTTATTACCATGTATAAACAAAGTAATCCTGGAACTAAACATTAAATGATGCTCTAAAAATATAACAAGAGTACTCATATTCTTCCACTTTCAAAACTTTATAATTTCTATTGCGGTATTTATTCAACCTACCGAAAGTAATGACGTACCTGATTATTCCAGGCTTTGCGATATCCGTCTCTGCCAGACCACACATACAGTCTGGTATGTATTCCAACAGAACAATGACCAGCACGAGCTCTGGGAGTATTTTCTTCGAATGTGTCTATACTTAATTGTTCCCATGTTAATGTTTCTGTAATAGTTGTTACATAAAGATGTACTGGTACGCATAAAACTAAGCTTAACACAAACGTTACTGGTAATAACAAATTACAATAAGATGAAAGAATTATTCTCTGTAACATATAAATAAAGACATTATACCAGCTAGCAGTAAACATACATTTTTTCAAAATGTTTGCTTTAAATATCATGGTGCATATTGAATCTAAGGATTATGTACATAATTCTAATAACAGGCTAAATATTTGTAACTGAATAATTAATTAGTACCAGTTGTGGGCAGGATGCTCCCAGAACCTCTACCCACGTGGCTTTCATTTAAACGAAATTGTAAAGCAAAAAATTCACAGAACAAGCCCTGAACCAGTTGAAGAACTAAAGGAAAATACTAGAAGGGAAGTATTTTCCATCAACTAATGAATGTAAAGTTTTTATGAGTGTCCCAAAAATGCACGCTGAACAGAGAGCATTTCCAGCAACTGTTGTAACTGGGGTTTTATTATTAATTCGTTCAGGCTGTAAGTTTATTTTTACAACTAGCAATCATTAGGCATTCACTTGAGAGGCTCTGAGATTAATTTCATAGCATTTAGTAATGACCCAAACTGTGACGTAGCTCAACAAATTTTTGTCAAAATCGAGAAACTGGCCGACAGATGTTAACGTCCTAGCATTTTAATACTGTAAATATATAAGATAATCCTACTGATATGAAATTAAACAATACTGTATTAGAACCAATACTACTGACATGAAATTAAACAATACTGTATTAGAACAAAAGTTATACATTAAGATTCAAAAGTATGTTTAAATCAACATTAAACAAATTAACAGAGCAAATAATCATACACACACAGCGAAAAAACTTACCAAGATTAAGACATGCAAGTGTGTTGGTACACTTCCATTCCTTTTCATGTGTTGCCACTTTGACATCATCCATAAAAAGAGGCACCCAGCCACCAAAAACAAACATTCGACAGCCAATCAGAGTCGCGCTATGAAGAGACCTAGGCAACGGAGGGGAACCATTTACAGCAGGCTTGTTCCAAGACATTGTATCTGAAAAATAACACAGAACTGCTCATTTAGATACTGCATATGAATAACAAATATAAATTAGTAATGCTACTTAGTTTCTGGACTTTGTCCACTGACTAGTATTCCGAATATAACACAGCGCTTTGGATATGAACAATTTCTGAAACCTTTCATTCTTTAGAATACTAGATGGTGGACAAGATCAGAAACTCGGTAACATGCAGTATATCATTGTAAGTACTATTTAAAAAGATTCTTTGAAATTAATAAGACAGCATGTCAATTTTCATACCACATACAGCACCTGAAAAGCTTTTAATATAACCTTACAACATCAAGAACTGTCAAAGTATATTCTGGGTCTCAACTTATTACTTTCTACCCCTTTCTTTTTGGACTTGGTTCTACATTCAAAAACTTAAAAACTATCTTTTAACTCTATAAGGCTCACACTTGTCAAAGTAATTTTTAAGAATTTGGTCTCTACATTGAAAACAAAACTCTTCACCATTAAAAATATCAACTTTTCCATGAAATAATCCTGTTTTTAGTAAGACTAATATGAAACCCATAAATACAAAATAAAAAGTTAATGACTCTCAAAGCAGGTAGGGCATATAGTTACCATGGGGCTTTAAAGGTTTAGGCAAGATCTTAAAAATACTTAGCAGACTTACCAGGCACATACTCTCATGTGCATTGTGTTACTTTGTACTGTTCTCCTGTTCAGAACTATTAAAAATGTAATGACATGAATCAATACTTCCATTTTGGCTATATTTAAGTCTATTTTTGGGAGCCGGCGTAGCTCAGTCAGTATAGTGACTGGGCATGGACTGGACAAACGGGGCTCAATCCCTGACAGTGATAGAGGATTTTTCCTCTAGCCTCTGCGTTCAGACTGGTTCTAGGGCCCACCCAGCCTCCTATCCAATAAGTATCAGGGTTCTTTCCTGGAGGTAAAGCGCAGTCGGAGCGTGATGCTGACCACTCACCCCCATCTAGTGCCGAGGCCAAAAATGAGTTGGAGCTATACATCTCTCCCCCCCAAGTGCCTGCATGGTGTATAGTGGGACAGCTTTACTTTACATATAAGTCTATTTTAATCAGTGTTCTGGGTCACTGCAAAGCTAACATGACAAAACAAACTTATGAACCAATATACACTAAAACATTTCAAGACTCACCGCAATCAAGAAGCCAGAGGTCTCCCAGTCGACAACCACTCATACCACCGTATATCACTAATCGGGACTTTCCAGTTGTTTTGTCAGTGTATGCGACACCAGTATGTGACTCTCTTGGTGGAGGTGACGTACCATATGTCTGTGGTAACTCCCATGCAGTAGAATTGTTACCTCGTAATTCAAGTATATATAGGTCATTCAAGTACCTATAACAATTCTTGGTTTTAGTAAAGCAGCAATTTTACATTAACAATCTTCTCATAGAAAAATTAATGTATTACTGTCAAAAAACAACACATCATCGCCTCTTGGGGTATCAAATCCTAACCATCCGCATGATAAGCAAACACTACAGAACTATCACAGACCATGTCCATGCACCTACTTTTACGAGACTTATGAACCAACAACGAAGTGAAAAATAAAATTCTGAATTAAAATTAAACAGTCGAATGTTAACACTTAATATTCTGGCTGAGAAGTCAGAGGAGGTTCCAATAGCAAACTGCAGAACCAGAGCTGAACTGGAGGGTTATACTGGACGAGATCCCCTTCTGAACATTAAGGATGCCATGACTTGAAAACAGCCCTTTCAAAAGACTAACATACAATTCAAATTTTGTGTAACTCGTATACTTTACCAAACAAAAACAAATCTAGTCTCTGTTTCTTGCAAATAAAACAATTTGTCTACAGTCAGATTTGAATACAGGGCCTTTAAATAAGACACTGAAAGTGCAATTAATTCTGAAATAGGAAGCATGAATCTTTGCTTTCTCTTTTATAACAAATACCTGCAATGAGAAAGCAGCGGACTGCCTCTCTTGCGCATTAAATCAAGTATTGAACTCTTGAAGAGTTAGATTACAAATCTGCAAAAACCTTTTGACGAATTAACAAATCAACTTCTGTGTCTGGTATATACTATAACATATGGAACCACCATGAAACCACGAGTCATCTTCGAATACTGCAGTTCCTCGATTTTAAGACACCAACAATTGTAAGTCGGACCCTTCATTTAGTAACAAATTTTCAAGAAAGAAATACATATATTACAATAGGAATTGTTAATAATCAATATCAATATCAAATTAATATAAATACTTTCAGAATCTTCTTTGTTGCTGTCTTCATGTTTATTGTCCCATGACTAGTTTTATAGACACAGAAGATTTTCCTTGCACATACAATATAATTTTTCAACATCAGTTCTTAGACACCAACAAATTTAAGACGCACCTAGACTTCAGAAATTTTAAAATGTTAAAAATGTGTCTTAAAATAAAAAAATGGTATTATAAACAATTATTATGAAGAATGGAAATTGATTTACCTGGGAATGTTATTTTTTGGATCTTCGCTGTCATTTGCCAAACCACCAAACAGATAAACCCTGTTTCCTATTAACGTAAAACTATGTCCAAGGCGAGGGCACGGTGGTGAGCCATGTTTAGGGGGCCGGGGTTTCAGTCGCTTCCACTCCCAGCGGCTTGCCTGTGACAGAAAGTAACAGTGAGTTGAACTGGCTCGTATAACGGAGTTAAGATTCATCGCAGGAAAACTGGCATATAATTCAAATTCACGATTAACTTTGTTTGGCAACAATCTCCTACACTGAATGTATACTAGGTTATATGCTAAAACCATAACTTTCTGGTGTAGAATAAAATCTGTATATTTTACTGTGAACATAAACCCCTTTGAAAAGTCTTCGCCGCCGCCCCCCCCTCCAAAATGTACATAGTTCATGCAATTTATTTATTTCAGAAAATTAATTTTAATAAATCCAATATACTTACTTGTAATTCATACAATTCATTTGAATATTTGCCATACTCCACCATTCCACCAAACACAAGGATCCTGGTACCGTCGACCACAAAACCATATGCCGCACATCCAGGCGGGATATCTCCTTTTGTTGCCGGAACAAACCACTGATTCGTTGCTGTTATAATGAAACGAGAGTATATAAAATTACTTCACGCTGAATCTTAAATTCACAATATGAGTGAAAGTGGAAAAATTACAAAACAGACTTATAATAATGTAAAATCATGTACATTTATAACTTTTTATCAACAATGTTGTGAAAAGTATACAAGACTTTATTCTTCCATTTACCTCTGAACCAATCTAGGTGTATTCAAATGAGTAGTTTGTTCGCAAATGTTTTCAATTACAACAAATTAAACCTGTATGTGGAATATATTTTCATACAAAATGGTGATGGCTGAAAGGAGCACTGAATCAGGATATCATATCCCTTCGAGGATACCACAGAACTGACTCAAACTACAGGATTCATGAATCTTTTGGTGAAAGAGGCTGTGCACATCTCGACAACTTCAACAGAGACATGGGATTCTCTGTCAATCCTGTAGCCCAGTTACCAGCACACACACACGCACAAAAAGATCAACACTGACTGTGGCCCAAAGTCGAATAAGCGAAAATGTTGCTGTCAAATGTTCACCTATTGGTCCACTGTCCAATAACGAGACAAAGCTCTAAGAATGGGAAGTGTGTATAGACAGGATGATTCATAATTACATACAATAAACATAGGTACTGCGTTATACTCGTAAAATAAAGCTAGAAAGGTCCTATAAACATATGGTCACAACCACTTTTAGCAACAGTCACTAACTATTGTGTCAGTGACAATAGGAAGGAATAAAAAATAACATTCTAACGGCGGACACACAAATAACCAGGGAAGCAGACAAAAGGGGCCGAATGTGTTCTCCTGTGGTGAATATTCACTTCACCTCCGTAAAACCACTCTCCATGTTCCCTGGCGCCAGCTTTCCTCTCGTTGGCAGTGCTACGGAAAACTCTCTTTATTGACAGACTTATTCTTAAAATTTACGATACTGAAAAGATGTTTATTTATTGTGAGAATCTGATGAATTGTATTCTGTGATTCTTTAGCACATTAAACGGTTGTAAAGCAACGAAACGTGCGGTGAACTTAAGTTAGATAGCTTTTGTATGATTTGAGGTTTTCACAGTGGTGAGTATGAAGAATTCTGTCTTCTGGGTTGTTGCGCTGTGTAGTCTGGTCGATGTTAACCAGCGTTTCAGAGGTCATACTGCCTCCGTCATCAGGGCGATGACATTATTACTAATCAAAATAACATTTCACCATTTCATCCATGACCAAGACTCAGCTGAAAAGCTTTGATCACTTGCAACCTGCCGGGTATGAACACATTGTACAGGATACTGGACATACTTCAAACGGCGGAGGCATCAGACAAAACAAACCAGATCTAGCCAGCACAGCTCAGTCAGTATAGTGACTGCCTACAGACTGGATGACCAGAGTTCAATCCCCGATGGGGGCACAGAATTTTTCCTCTAGATTCTGTGCCCAGACTGGCTCTGAGGCCCACCCAGCCTCCTATCCAAAGGGTACCGTGGTCCTTTCCCGGGGGTAAAGTGCAGCCAAGGCGTGATGCTGACCACTCACCCCCATCTAGTGCCAAGGTCAAGAATGAGTAGTTATGTATATTTTCTTCTCATTCTAATCTAATGACTTCATTTATTTAAACTATCATTACAAAGATGTTGACGTATTCAGTAGCAAGTTGCCTGTCCTCTACACTCATGTAATTTTTTGATAATCTCTTTCTTTATACCTTTCTGTATTTATTATTGTGTTCTTGCGTTCTTCTCTTGTGCTGTATCTGTAATTAGCCATTTGGTTGCAAATGCAGCACACTAATAATAACTGAAATGAATTTAAAAAATTGGGCGGGGGAGCATGGCGACCTAGACTTACAAATACAGAGTCTAGAATGTACCCTTTTCAATGTATTCATCAGACTGTTTGCAAAAAGATGACTTATTGTTCTAACAAAGGGCCATATGTCAGATACGTAATTTTGCCTCAGAAGTGGCAAATTGACACTCCAATCAGCTAAATGATGCAGCAGCAAGCTCTGAGGCTACCAGGAGAAAAATTCTTCGCAGTATTCATGGACTTCTAAGGACATGTTTTGACATGTTGAACAGAGCAAAGCTTGTGACGGAACTAAACCACATCAGTGCATTGGATCACATAATAACCAACATACCAAGGGACGTAACTAGCTTACAAATATATCCAAACTGATGGCAACACTTCATGGTAAATTAGATCCTTAAGAATGTGAAGGCAATTAACTTAAAAGGGAATCTTGTCTATCAAGGTTCATGATGTCCTGGATAGCATATACTATGGCAAGAGAGCCTTTCCTAATTGGCAAGGTTCATGATGTCCCGGATAGCATACACTATGGCAAGAGAGCCTTTCCTAATTGAGAGGCTGAAAAACAAACTACTGCTGACATTTGCAGTTGCTTTTGAGAAACTGGTAAATAAAAGCCTACAAAAGTAGGATACATGGTTGGAATTTTATTCCAATGAAGCCATAACCTACAAATGAACTGAATAATGAGCTGTGACATGCTACCCAGTTTTCATCAAAGGATCTACTAAAAGAGCAACTACCATAATCTCGAAGTAAATGGCATCTGCCACTTGTGTTACAGACAACAGTGATATATCTACACGTCGGAAAAATGGGTTCTGTCATACGTTACAGCAAGGAATACTAACCTCATGCAACAGATTATAAAAACCAGTACTCTGCATAATGTGCATTTCTTCTCATCAATTTCTCACAAAAATAAAGCTATCAGCTTTGTACATAGAAGTGAATAGTTTATCAAATAAAAAGAAATTGGTAATATAAATTACTGCTGAAGTACGCACTGAAATGCACAAGAATTTTTTACAAACCAAATGCTAAAACCCATAATTCTGGGCTAAGTTCTTTACTTCCTGACATAAATCTCATATAATTTCACTGACTCGGGACAAAAATAGCCAGAAGCTTCTGAAAAATGAACATTTGCGTAAGGTTATAACCGGCAAAGATTCGCTCGATAATCACAATCTACAAGAAAACAAGACATATCCTTGACACTATTTTAAAGATATCTTATAAAACAAACTAATGGCGTATGGAAATGTCATTAAAACATGCAATTTAATATAAAAAACCCAACATTCGAAACTATTCATTAACATGGGATCAAAGCATCATACTTGTGTTTACATCAACACATGTGTATTGGAGAGAACGGCTAGGCATAGTAATGGCGGCTCCGACATCGGATGTATACGAACCAAATGAATGTCAAAGCGTCAAAATTGCACACACAAATAAACGAATATCATGCTCAGCCATATCATCTAATACGCAATTTAATTAAAACCCTTTGTACTTTGCAGCTTTCAAGCTGTGTTATGAAAAACGTTAAAGACATAACCAAATACCATACAAATACAACAAAGTAACCTAACATAGCATAGATCATGTTTCGTACTTGGAGGCTGCCATATTGGATAACGCCAATAAACCGCCAAATCAAGAATATTAAACTGGCTGATAATTTACTTGGACGTATTGTTTGAGTAAGTCCAAAATTATTGTAATACAATTTAACAACCACGAATAATCCCATTACGGTGTACTATATGTAATGACAATGTTTTCCACAATTATATACAGTGACAACAGATGTCGCCATCTTAGAAGCCTAATATTGCTAAACAAAAAAGTAGAATTACCTGTATTATATACATGAAGTTCATCAACTATGCCTTCATTTCCGCCACCAAATACAACCATCAAATCTTTGATTGCAACAGCACGATGCCCATGTCGAGGTCTTGGTTGAGGTCCAGTTGGATTTGTCACTCGCTTCCACTTTAGTATGGGAGCCGCCATGTCAGTACATATTTTCTTTTGGTGACCACCAACTCTACATGCTACGCTCTAGAATCACAGAAACAACATGAGAACTGTCAGAGGTAGTTTCAACCATAAAGGAAGTATAATAATCCTTGGTTTCCTGTTGATCGTTCACAAATCTTTTGGTAGCTTCAATTACAGATCGGAAGCTGATAGATACCGTTTAGCTGATCCATGCAAAATAAAATGTGCATTGCAAGTATAGGGGCCGTCAGATATGAGGGAAATACAACAGTAAACAGTATAGGGGTCGTCAGATATGAGGGAAATACAACAGTACAAAACGCGAAGTTAATATTATACAAATTTACTGAAAAATTTTACATACGATATATTTTCCGTTTTCATTATTTTCTATAAAAATGGTTTCAACGGCATTTCACCCACTGTATTTTTACATACATGCCATTTAACCACCCTAAATTCATTTTCTAATAGTATGACCTTGTATTGATCTACCATACTACAATCCTAACCAAAGTGCTGATTAACGTACATTTACCTAACGTGATACAAATGTAATACATACACACACAAACACACGTTACACGGAAAAGATTTTAGGCGTGTAAATACAATTGAAGGATTCAATTTTGTCCGATGAGTAAATGCAAGCATTCAGTTTTGCCCCACATAAAATACAAGGATGCAGCTTTGTCCGACGTAATATGTGTGAAACAGAATACATGAAATGACCCTTGGTAGGGGAATAGGGTGGTGAAATCGCTTGTAGGCATAATAAATATATAAGTTGCGTCGGTGAAACTAATGTGAGCTAACTGGTACATAGGTAGTGTCCTGACACAGTTATTATTCACTTACTTCAAGTACATTTAAGAGAAAACTATCAATTGTTTAATAAATCCATCAGCTTAAAAGAACCCATATGTAACCAGTGCTAGACGTTGCAGTAGCAAGAGGAAGATCAGCACAAGTTAGTCAGTGCTAGACGTTACGCTAGCAAGAGGAAGATCAGCACAAGTTAGAAGTAAAGTATTTTCAAAATATCCACCTGAATGTTGAAGCTGTTTCTTATGAAGAGGCCAGATCCAACAACTTACCTAAAAGTTGGCACAGAAGATTTCAAACAATTGTCATAAATTACTATGAATCCTTCTAATATCTCACGAAAGAACTCTAAAAGGAAAAGAAAAAGCAAATGAGGAAATCACAGCAGTTGAAGACTTAGTGATAGCAGCAAAAATAGTACAAAATGGTGAACAAGACATATATCCCAGTTTTACAACCAGTATGAAGGATTTGATTACTTGTGACTTTGTGGATATACCTTTGTTTGTCATATCACCAGGAGTATTACACCACCTCACTGATTTACTTTGTATACTTGAACATACATACTGATTTTAATTCCATGGATCCAAAACTTAGAATGACAACAGGACGTAGAGTAAAAACACAAACCATACAAATATAACTCAAAATATTTATAAGTTTTCTCCTAATACAATAGTTTCACACAAAGTGTACAAATGTTATGTTGAATTCATACATAAACAGTAGGCATGTCCAAGAAATCGATTCCTTGTACGAAAGTGCCGACATATGAATAATATGGTTATATGGTTAACACCTCGACAACTTTTCAGTATTTTTTCGTCGTAGTTGATTGTGCAGGAAAAGCAAGGGCTGACAGGCAGCATTACTTGTCATGGTATAATTATATTTAAATTTCTTTCTCTCAGTATATCAGTTCATTATGACAATAGAACTGTTTTCCCTTGGATTACTGACATTGTAAAGATGACACAGATCCTCAGACTGTGAATGATTAAAAAATATTCCCTTTTCTAGTATGAATGTGGTAAATATTCCTCTACAACAAAGCTTACTGTGGCTTCCCAGAAGACATAAAGTAATATATACTTACACAAACCATAATGTATAAAAGGAAGTCCCATATAATAAATTCTTCTGAATGCTATAGTTCAGTATAAAGATGACTTTTCTTGGCGGTTGTACTATGTAGTCTAGCAAAACCCAAAACTCATCTTCATACAATTATTGTGATAACCTGAAATCTCATGCCATAGTACAGCAGTTTACTGTGTGTTTTCATCTTAATTTAATACTTAACATTTCAAGAGATTTTTCTTCCAAGTGATGCCATTTCAATGGTACACATTATACATGATATTTACATTTGACAACTGCTACAGGTTCAGGATTTAGCTGAAATATATGTGCTTAATGAATAGGCATACTTACGAGACCTGCAACGGCTTGAAGGGTTTATCCATTTGTGGCTTAATATCAGGAAAAGTTATCAATGATAAAAAATAGCAAATAATACTAATAAATACAATTATAAACAACGGTAGATATATAAATGCGTGATTGATGAACCTTGTGCTTACTTTTTCATAAGTTAGTACACATGCACCGGTATCCTTACAGCTTTTAGTTCTGTCTAAATGGCAGAGCTTCAGTCAGCAATCAAAAGAACTAAAAATAATAAAAATATGATTAAAAATCACACAATTTTTAAGGCTGGTACAATTAACATTCATGTGAGACAATTTCCCCATATATGAGAGGTAAACCCTTAATGTTACAGGTTAATACGAGCTATTATTCAAGTTTAATAATTTCAAAACAAAGAATGACATTACAAAGTAAAGTAAATCCTCTACTAAGTACAGAGTCATTGACATTTAAAGGGAATTATGAGGTATAGGTAGACCAACAGAGCATTACCGATTGAGGCCGAGGGCACCGCCATATTGTTCTGATAACATAATAGTGGCTTCTCAAGTTTCACTATCGCAACACTTTGGCTTATCTAGCATGTTATATTCATTAACACTCCCAACTACAACAACAGAAGATTTGCAATCTTCTTCAGGGTCAGTTGTTTGAGACCTCACTCTCTTCACTTTCTGCGCTGACTTCATTCTCTTGCGCACTTTGGCGCACATTTTACTTGTAGATACCACTTTCTGTACGTCTTTACTTTGAAGCCACCGTGCTGCCCAGGAACAATTTGTATTTTCATTTCTTTTGTTCTGGTTTTCTGATCTGTAATCTTCATTAATTTCAATTTCGATACAACTAGATGAAAATTCTTTACTTTCATTTTGTGCTGAATTTTCAGGTGTAGAACCAGAATTATCACAAGAAACAGATGATTTATGAGGTTTAACACTGTACTCCTTTGATACATTATTTAAAGTTTCGCTGACTTCTGTACTATTGTAACTGCAGTTACCCTGTTCTGATAAGTTTCCAAGCGATACTTTCTGTGAACCATCTGTTTCTTGAAGCGAAGTCTTTTGAAGTTTCCTGTTGTCAAACAACTCTTGTAATTCATCATCATCGCTATCATCTAAAATAATTATATCATTACACGCCCTCTCTGAATGAACTTCTATAACACCCTCAGAAGATTTATCATCATTTGTGAGCTCCCCATCTTCCCTGCCTGCTTCATCAAGTGTAACTACTGTGTTGACAGTTTCATAAATTTCTTTGCAATGTGGCACGTGTACATCCGATTCCTGCTCTTTGCCATTTGATTCCAAAAGGGGGACTTGTTTTACGTCGCCCATGTCTCGTGTTTCGCCGCCATGACAGACTTCAATTTTAATATTGCTGTACAAACTGCTTTGTGAGATATTTTCACTTGTTACTTGGTGTACATCTGGATCAACTGTGGAGTCAGTTCTTGTGAGGGTACATAATTCAACGTTCTGAATTGACGGTAGCTGGGGTAAAGCACTGATGACTAGAGACAGAGACTGGTTATTTTTTTGTTCTGTGTTAACAACAGTACACTGATTCATAGGTATATTTTCCATTCCTCTACGTTTAAGCTTCTGCCTGTGAGATTTAGGGCTGTTGTCAAAGTTATCAGATCCTGTTAAATTATTATTATTGGACTCATGATTATAAATGCTAGCAGCATCTTTCACTGTATATAAGCTACGACTTTTCGTTAGTTCTGATGGAGGGGTCTCTGACCACTCATCACAGTGATCTACATCTTCACCATCCCCTGCGCAAATTTGCTGTTTCAGCAGAGCTCGTATCGCACGAGCCCTCATTTCAAGTTCTAGAATTTCCAGCAACGTCTTTCCCTTACTTTCATCTGTTCTCTCTGTCATGTCTGCTTCATTGATATTTCCACTTTTTGGAGGTGAGTTAGCTTCATCAGTTTCTGCAATATTCTTTCTTGTAACTTTAATTTGCTTTTCAGATTCTTTTGCTTTCTTTTGACTGTTGCTTTTCCTCTTGTTTCTCTTCACAACAGAAACAGTAGACTCTGCTTCACATGTTGACGAAGTCCTCTTTCTCTCAGAGTGCTTGGTAGATGGGATATCTGAAATGAAGAAACATATATCATCTAGGGATTGAAGATGACGTGGGAATGCCAGCTTTATTTCACCTCTGAAGGAAGTTGTGCTATGGATTTTTATCACTCTTAAAAATCCATCGACCTCAGCTGGGTTTCAACCCGCGAACCTTGGGTCCAGTGGCGAGCATGCTAACCACTATTCCACCCAGGGCGACAAGTATAATACGCTTCTGTATTTTTAAATGGACAGTGAACACTCATCTCATATTAATAAAATTAAAATAAAGCAGTGTGTGTGTGTGTGTGTGTGGGGATTGCTGGTGCAGTGGCCACACGGTCTGAGGCACGAACCTCGTGCGCCTGGCCGCCGCGACTGTGGGTTCGAGTCCCACTCAAGGCATGGATGTTTGTCCGCATCTTTCTGTGTTTGTATCGGTAGAAGCCTTGCAGATAGGGCTGATCACTCATGCAAGGAGTTCTACGAATGTCCAAAAAATAGATCAATCATAAAACCTCCAAGAGAGGTAAAAACGCAGACCCTGCAAATGCGGGACAAATGCGAATGAAGAAAAAAAGAGTGTGTGTGGGGATTGAACACAAGTTACCCCCTTCTAAAACAAATACTTCACCTCTATGCTACAACAGAAACATACATTGCTGGTACTGACAGTCCAGTTTTGTGTACTGCCAGATTTATCAGAACAAAAAACATTTTACTTTAAAACAGAAATGTCAAATGGCACTTCAAAATAGGGTATTTTTGCTTTACTTTTAGTCGAGACCTCTAAAATTTTTCGCGTAAGTTTCTGGACACTCCGCGTACGTGTATATGTGTGTCTGGGTGTTTTATATATTTTGCTGTAATTCATACAATTAAATAGTTCTCCCATTTCCTTTCTTGTGATTCCAATCTCTAGGGTGTCGATATCAGGTACTGGTCCATTCAGCAGCCCATTTCTCTCATCACTGTTTATGTCCTCCTTGTCCAACTCTTCTAAATCTTGATCCTGTGTTCTAGTCCTCATGTCATCACTTGACCTGCAGAATAACAAAACGTGATACCATATATAACGTTAAAATTACAAATATAAAATATTCTTTAAGAAAGCAAATTTGGAATTAATGAAAAAGGAAGTTTTAAATCATTATATAAGTAATCAACACTAATTCTCCAGTCTTGGAACTTGTTTGTATAGCAGGATTCCTCACTTGTCAACCCATTAACACATAGACATGTGACCCAGTAAGGTTAGAACGGTCAGTAAGGTGATATGCTATAGCCTGATTAGCCAGAGTTAATTCCTAGCATAAGGGATTTTTCTTTTCGTTGTCACATTCAGACTGGTTCTGGGATGTAACTGACCTCCTGTCTCATGGATACTAGT